ATAATGCCACCGCTGGAGGTGGCGGAGCAGATAAAATTAATCAGGTAAAATTCTTAAAGAGCCTCACATCCCTGTTTACTTTGTGGATCACCTGTGCCGGACGGGTTCTTCATAACTTTTGACTTCAGGGCGTTAATGAAGAGGCCGACTTCCACAGCTGCGTTGTACACAGAACCCGTGAGATGACAGAGTCCGTTTGCCGTATTACTCTTAAGGAAACTATCATCTGCCTACAACAGATATCTAGTTGGATATCTTGAATTGCACCTTCCGTTAGAATGAGACCTTTGTCTTTGCCAGGATTACCACTGTTTTGCAGAATAATTCCGAGAACAATGCTGAGTGGCAAAGGCGAAAGCACATCCTCCTGAAAAACTCCACAGCTAATAGGCAACTATTCAAATAGCTTTCCTTCAATGCTGACAGCCGATATGGCTGCTACATACATCTTTCCCAAAATACAAACGGTGTGTTTAAGAATACCACATTCTTTCAACATTTTCCACATTGTTACTTGATGGGGTGAAACAAATGAAAACGAGTCAAGGAAACTGGTAAATGATCCTAGGCAGAATAAAATTTGGCCAGGGCAGCAGTACCCATCCGAAAGTCTGTTCCAATCAGTGGCCTGCCCCAGCCTTTCCAGGATACCCTAGGAGAAAAGTTTCACGGCAGTTGAAAATAGTGCGGTACGATGATAATTGAAACATTCAGTCATCTTACCGCTTCTAAACATAGGGACAAAAATTCCATACTTCCATTCTCCTTGCAAACTCTTTTAGTTTCACATTTAATGATAGACGGCATGCAGCATTTTTATTTGGATGGATCTATACGCAAAGATTTGGCTTTTTTATTATTTGGATTGATCTATACTAACATTTGAGCGCAAAGATTTGGCTTTTTAATTATTTGGATGGATCTATAATAACATTAGAGGTGGAAAATGACGAGTCTGGAGAACAGATGCTGAGCAAGTGCTGAAAATGCTCAACCCATCATCTTAGATGTTCCTTTTGAAATACCAATCTGACACAATTAACGTCTAAGACAAACGCAAACTCTGTCTCCTGCTTACCGGACAACTGTCACACCCGGTTGAACACGTTCACCATTCACCACTTCTGGGGACCTTTTCGGTCCTTCTGATTTATCTGACCAGCGAAAGTTCTCTGCCTCGCCTGCAACTTCGGTAAATTGCATGAAGTCGATGAGCTGCGTTCGATAGGGCAATAGGCTTTTGCCAGTAAAACATATTTGCTTGATTCCTTCGCATTCTAAGGTTTAAGGTCTCCCCCTTAATTCAAAACAGTTTGGCTATTCGCCTGTTTCCGCGACCCGAAAGGAGAAGCGGCGATGGAAGATGAAGATGGCTATTCGCTTTCTGACCTCAACTACGTTTTGCGCCGATTAAATGACGGTTTATTTGAAGCCTCTGAAAGCTTCATCGACGTCACCAGCTTTTCCAGCTGAGCACTAAGGCTTGCATTAAATAACTTTTACCTCTTTCTGGTAGGCTGACCGTACCACTTCGTCAAATTTTAGCCTGTCAACAACTAGTAGCTGATGCATTTCAACCACATGGTGTCGATGCGGCACGGATAGTTTCAGACGAAATTTCGCTACCACCATACGGCCATCAGTCCCAATAGAGAAGGCCTCGTCTGATTCGGCTCTTGAGTAAAGAACTTCACCATCTGCAGTTGATAAGAACGTGGTTTACCTCATTGCTGAGGCTTCCTTCAGGGAATTTTCGGGGAGTTAATGAACACGCTTATAAAATGTAAGGTCCAGTCAACTCCGCCATGGCCGGTCCCAAGCCCGGATGAAACTCCGCCATGGCCGGTCCCAAGCCCGGATGAGAA